AAATAATCATGTATCTGTAAAGTACCCTATATAATATGAATGAACCCAGAAGACATTGTGCTTAGTGAAATCAGGCAATCATATAAAGGCAAATATTATAGGTGATGATGATTTATTATTTATTTTTTGGAAGAAAAGGTTTGCACACTAAAAGAAACATTCTTTGATGATTACCAGAAGTGGGAGGGAGAGGAAGTCTTGGGCTAAATGGTAGACAATTGTTAACTTGTGTGAACTGGAAGGCAATAAACAGTAAGAGAGAACTTAGAGGGGAAAAATGATCAAGGCAGAGAAAGACACTGGGAGGCTTGTAAGAATTAAAGCAACAAAGGAAAATTCTATTATGTACACAACCCTGTAATAGTGATCTACAAGTAGATGCTTGGACAGACACGGAGGCTGGAAAGTGTGGACGAGTAGGCGAGTATATTGTGATTATGTTTTAAAGAGGGTATTTATAAAGGTGTATTTACCTTTGCTGCTATTATATGTATGAATCTGGTGGACAAAGTTATGCAAACACTTTAAGGGAATAAGTTGCTGGAGCTGGAGGATCAGGGCCACAGTCTCACGGGCACCAAGGTTAATTGGTATAGCATAGTTCACAAAGACATTCTCCCTTGCTGAATTGTGACTGGGGTCTTGAAAGCTTGTAAACAGCCATCTAAGATGCAACTATTGGTCTCTCCCTGTTCAAAGGAAATGAGATTGATGAAAGATCCATGAAAACAGTTGTCCAAGGACCTGGACAAGGAACTGTAAACCAAACAAACATCAGTCTCCAATCCTGAGACCAAAAGTTCTAGTTAGTACCCAACTAAAACTAACAACTGCTCTGAAAAGGATCACCTTAGAAGGTCCTAAATAGAGTGGAAGAAAATGTGAAATAAAATTCAAAATCATGAAATACAGCTGTCCTACAGGGTCACTGGGAGTCCAGAGAGAGTGCATGGCAGTGTAGGGTTTTTTGAGTATTGGTTGGAGACTATGGCTCTGAGTCACCCTTTAGGCCTGGAAGTATGATCGTTCAGGTGGTAGAATAACCAACTACTTAAGACCAAGGAGGCAAAATTTACCCAAGGGCAAAGTTCAAAGGATGAAGGAGGTGGAATAAAACTAGGAAACACAGGGAGGAAGTGGAATAAGCAATGGTGCATTTAGAGTATTGCAATGGATGACTTGAACAAAATTCAATGAATCATTGAATATGAACTGATGATCTTCTCTGTAAAACTTTACCTAATTCACAATGAAAAGGGTTTTTGTTAATTCACTTTATTTAGTAATATAATCAACAAACATTTAGTATCTACTATGTAGAAAGTCGATATGAATCAAGGAACTGGGCAAAGGTCTTTTGTTGTTTTTCTTTTTAAGCTATTTGGTACTAACCTCAGTATTAACTGTATAGAGAAAGCGGGTGCTCAATCGATACGTACTAAGTAAATGAGTAGTAAGCAGCCACAACCTCCAGAAATGCCATCTTTCTGCCTGGGCTGGGTTTTGACTTCAGTAACATCATTTTTGGACCAATAGTTGGTAAATGTTTTCAGTCTAGTGACAGATAGTAAATATTTTCTGCAGTGTGAGTTAGATGGTCTCTCAGCTGCTACTAGACTCTTCCTGTTGTAATGTAAAAGTGGCCATTGACAACATTCTTACTTAATAAATTACACTGGCTGATTATAGATATTGAATTTTGAATTCCTGTAATTTTCACGTTGCAAAAATATTCCTATTTTGCTTGAAGAATTTAAAATATAAATATTGTACTTTTTTTTTCCATTTTAAGGTTTTGCTTTTCTTTATAAATAGTTCTCCTGCTGACGTCAGACATGTAAACCGTTGGGTAGGACTCAGAAGCACAAGGTAATAGTGGTGGCTTTTCTGATTCATTTGTCATCCTCACAAATAAAGGGGGTTCCTTGTATAAAGTGCCATCAAACCAGCAGGACCGCGTTTATGCACCCATAGTTTTCAGGATTGTTGGTAACCTGGCCATGTTTCCCCCAAATCACCTTGCCTCCTTGCGTCACCAGGCCCAGCTCGCTCACATTCACTTCAATTCCGATCCCTTTGGTAATAACACCCAGCGTTGTGCGCAGTGGGGATGAGGGGTTCTTCTTTACACCAAGTATTGGTAAGCAAAAGGTGGCTTTAAGTTCAGGGTGCGTAACAGGTGCCTTCGTGAAACGTAAGCCCATGGGTCTGATGAATCGTTCATACTTCGGTGGTTTCCGTGTAAAGCCATCCCCGACAAAGCAAACTTTAGTAACCATCCTTTTCCAGGCCTTCTTTTTCCTCCTTCCTGTTCGAATAATTTTTAGGACTTCAGTTTCTCCCTGGACACAGACTTTGAGCAGAGGGACTTCCCATTTCCCCGCTTTCTCTTTTCGTTTTTGTTTGATCCTACTGGAAAGTACTTTCGCTCGAGACTGTCTCTCCCTGTCCAGCAGAGGCAGGTACTGCACCTTGTGGAGTCTTCTCATCATTCTTTTGTTTGGTGTTTCTCTTTTCATGCATCTTGATAGTCTTTTTCGTTTGTATTTTCTCAGCATGACACTGCTATGGTAGAGGTTGGCCTTCAGACCAATCATCTTTTTCGCCTTCTTTGAACGTCCATGAGCCTCTCGACTTTCTTACTTTCTCTTTCTCTCATGGTAATCCAAATGATACCCATAGCGCTTCCGGTGTGGGAGTGGGGTACTAGAGAAACAAATCAATAAGATAGAGAATAGATGTTTGTTTGACCTCTCCCTCCTGGAAGTTTTCCTTCTTTGTCTAGCCAGAGGTCAGATAAAGCCACACTGTTTACTGGGTTGTTTCTGGGAAGT